ATTAGAGTACACGATGTTGCTGGTAGCGAACCTCAGTCCGGTGTTCGGCTTCGTCGGAGAGTTATCGACCAGTATTGAGTGGGCGCTGAACACTGGAGTTGGACTCTAAACTGAACCTTCCCTACCATAGCTCGGTCTTATATATCGTCTTGATACCATATCTTTATCTCATGTGTTTTGGTTCTATAGATATCAATCGCCTTGATAAACATCTCGCCCTTCTGATACCAACACAGGCTTGAACGTGTACGTTCTAAAATTACACACGTAAGTTCAACAAACAAATTTATTATAAAACAAAACTAAAACCAAACGAATCTTTATTACAGTACTTTTGCTACATTTTGCTACACATAATGTTACACAGCATCTTCCTTCCTGGAAAGTTGTGCCTTAAAGGAATCTTCCACGGAAAAAGCTCCGCCCTCATTACCACAGAAAACGATACCTTAAAGGAATCTTCCACGGAAAGAGTGATCATTTTGTCTTGTGTGTAGGATTAGTATTATCGAAACTAACGCTTATGTTCCGTTCTTTTTGCTATGCTCATGGCTAGGGGCCTAAGGGGTATCGTTTTTCTGTGGTAATGGAGGCGGAGCTTTTTCCGCGGAAGATTCCTTTAACACATTGACGACCGCGCGCGTTTTGGCTTTTTTGGCCGTGTGGGACCGGGCCGATTTTGCGAGTGCGACCGCCGCACCTCGGATCCGTGAATTTTTATTGATAACTTTTTAAAGCACCAGTGGTACAAAAACATCTCAGTAACAGTCAATGCGTAGAAGGTAATAGAGTATATAGTGACGAAGTTCCGATTAAAGAACATGTAATGGTAATGAAAAAGGAAACTTTAGTCATTTTATCTGTAGTGGATGCCAAAAGCTCTTTTGATGTGGTTATACCAAGTGAAACATGTATTTTTCTGTCTCTTTAGATTTGCATTTACTTTCACTACCCTTTTTTATTGACGTGTTCATGAGAATAGCATGAAAACTATTAATGAACCAAGCCGCCGGTTTCGGTGAGCTTGGAAAACTTCTTCTAAACTGGAGCATATTTGAACAAACAATGACCTATGTCGTTCACAATAATGTTATGTTCTAATCCATAGAAGAGAGACAAACAATTCGGGAAAAAGCTGCGCATGCCCTAGAAAAAGGGATGATAAGGGTGAGACGCGGTAACGCGTCTCAATGTCCAACGAGGTGCGCAAAGTGAGACGCGTTACCGCGTCTCAATGTCGTCAATGTGTTAAACTTTCTTGAACCATTCTCCTTTAGAGCTACACTTACCAGGCACACTACCAGTGACCTGCACTAAGATTGCTTTCATAACTTATCTAATGTAACTTGCCTTAGAGTTTGATGAATTGCCTTCCGAGTATGGAACAAAGTCACTCTCTGCGGACAACTCGACCTTTAGGGCGCTGCTATTCCATTAAATTTGTATAATAAATTCACATAGTATAAATTAATTTGCTGCGAAATCAATTCCTGCTCTCTCATTCGCATTATATGGTGTGATTTCGGGCCGAAGAAGCAGGAAAGGCAGCGGGGTGGCTTCGAGAGAAGGAGAGACAGATTAGAAGAAACTTCACTTCCACGTACTAGGTTAGACAGGATGCTTCGCCTATAACTTTCCCAATTTCTTGACTTATTTTTTCAACCCTACTGATGTTGCTCGGAAGCCTGTAATTTTCTCCACATAGTGACATATAGTTTTTGAATACTTGCTCGAGTATGGGGTTCATAAGCGAAAAAATTGATAATGTTGTATGAGCATAAGTTGATTTCAAAACCGAATGCTAGTTACCGAATCAGTTAAAGATGAGCTGAGTTGGAGCCAGACAGAGTCGAAAAGATTTCGTCGTGTACTGCCTCAAATTCATCGAAATATTCCACTGAACGTTAAAATTGTTTCCACTGAATCACACGGCGAGAAATTCCGGTTGACTATCAATACAAGATGTTCGCCACTTAATTTCCGAATATCCTGCCAGCCAATCTTCTGATCGGACTTTTCCATGGCTGCTTTCAGGCACTGAAGCATCTCACAGACCACGGAATTATCACAGCAACCGAACTCTCACAGTCCGAAGACGCGCACGTTCTTTCACAGGTTGGTCTTACGTTGATTCAACTCAACCCTAGTATGGAGCCATTAACACATCCAAGCGTACAGCTTATACCGTTAAGGGTTCATCATACTAACCCGTCATTTTATATATTTTTTTTCGATCTAGAAATACTCAACGTGAATCGGATGTGTGGGCAGGAGAGTGGGACCTAGAGTTATGTTGGACCCTTCTAATATCACCTTGCGGTATTCAGTGGATGTGATGACATGAACAAAGAGATATTAGAACGTATTGGTCCGCGTCCCGCCAGACGTGAGGCCGTGAGGGAATCATCGCCAACGATGCGCAGGCGATGATAAGGGTGGCTAAAGAATAAGTCCATCTGCCAACGGCGCACTTCATCCAACTTTTCGTCGCGCAGGTGAGACTGTTTAAAGCAGTTTTACGGCAGAAAATCAGATGTCCCCAACAAACTAGGTCAGGCTCTCCTCAGCTGCTCTCACCGTCCTTGGAATATACGTCGTCTGCCATCACCATCGAGCTCAAGGAGGCTTACTGTAATCGCTCCAGCCTGATTCCTTCGATCGATTGACTGGTGGATAGCTGCTGAGACAGTAGCTGTGACTAAGCAAGACCGCTTTTGGCAGCGTTCCCATGGAAAATAGTGCTCATGTGGTCGGTGTAAAAGGCTATACAACGTATGCTAGTAGACTGTAATGTACTCTACAACATTCATCTAGGGCATCCCGTTTGAATTTAGACAAGTACGATTGTGTTTTGAATGTGGGGTGAGGTGACTCTTTTTTGCCCCTCACCATGTGCCTGTGGGTTCCTAAAATTACACTGTGCTATTCATTTTTTTTGTTCACTTACTAGACGAAGTCGATGAATGTGAGGTAATGGCGTAACAAATCGCCCGTTCACAAAAGTAAAAAGCGAGCGCACCCGTTGTGATTTGGACGACTACCAACTTCACGTGTGGGACTGCGTTTAGTCAGGCTAGAAATGCGATTTTTCAGCTGTTTCGGAGTTTTTTCTCCACCCAATTTCAATATGCATGGGTTAATGGTGTTGACTATCGCTCAACCGTCCGTTGTGAAATTTCAAGAATCATCAAACCATAATCTTTCACCTCCGCCCCAGCCTTGTAAGAACTCACTTGTACAACTCGATGTGTTTAAAGAGACAGCAAATGTTCGTGCTTTGTTCATTGCATGCTTCTCTAATTACCTCCGCTGGAATCGCTCGAAAACCTATCAAAGCGAACCAAACCAAAAGCCACCCAAATTCCACCCGTAAGATGCTAAAACATTTAGAAGCATTGTCTCTAAAACACGGTACCGTAGTTGCCTGACTGGAACATACATACTCTTAGACTGTTTGAATGAATTTCGGCTAATGTCGCCGGTGAATTCTTCTGTGAAACTCCTCATGAATTTAACCCATAACGGACGGCGTGCGCCACAAGGTGGCGCACGACTATTTCTTTTGTTTTTGGAATGTTTCTAGCAATCTTAATATACCCATATATACTCTCAGCAATGTGGAATAACATATCTTCCCAGGACCTGGACGGCTGGATTTTTGACAAACCTACAATAAATTTTACATACATTTTGTCTTAATTTACATAAGTTTACTATTTGATGGGTGGCTTACCCATGGTTCGCACGTCCCGAGACCCCTTCCCCTAAATATAGCCACATCCTTGCTCGGGGTTGTTGTTTCGCATTTTTCGATAATGTCACCTACAGCTTCCATTCATTCTTTGCACCCTAGTTTTAGAGCGGAAAGGCGGGCTACGAACTTGTCGTCAACGGAAATCTCTTTTTTCGGATGATGAGACTCCGACACCTACTTTAGCCCCGTCTTACCCCTGCTGTTCACATAAGCCTACATAAACCCTACCCTGGGTGGCGGCGTGCGCCACATGGTGGCGCACGCGAAAAATACACTGGCCGTCCGTTATGGGTTAAACAAGCTTTGTTGGGCTAACGTTTCGGCGGGATCGCCTTCCTGAAGGTCTGAAAGGGTTTAAAGTACCTTGAACTAACTTATTTTGGATCAAAACGGTCAAAATTAGAGCAATTTTTAGGCACATCCACATGACCGTCTCACATTCCATTCCCTGGCTAACGTCATTCGTAACATTTTCAAAGAACGACCAGAAAACATGAAGTCGAAGCTTAACGTTATGAAGAGCGTTTTTTTTACAGTTCGAACTTCACTCTTATAACTTTGTTTGTGTTTTAAATAAATTTACTTTGGCATGGATGGCTTGGAGAGGACAGCAATAAAAGTACATGTTCGCAAAGCTTTACTTGAGATAAGCCGCGTTCAAAGCCACCAGACAATATCGAAACCCCTCAGGAGCACTCGTTAAGAACACATTATTTGCCAACCCGTACTGTTTATAATATCAATTTCTCCCAGTTTTCATATTTATCCTCCATGTACCGTCGAACGATATCTGGTCGCAGTGCCAAAATGTAAAGCAGCATGCCTGAAAGCCATATTCGTACTTGAATAAAATCGTATTATACACAAAGAAGCGGGTCAAGTACAATGGACAACCTTTCACTGCATTTTGTGCGGGTACAGTTAGATCGTCCAACAGAAAGCATGGGAAAAGGAAGGCAACAATCTGAAAAAAAATCTAGCATTGACATCAATCCCTGTACCTGAGGAACTATTCAGAAGGTTATCACCTCATACCATAAATGAGTCCACCAACTATTGGCATCAGAAAACACAATGTTGGTAATTTACAAGTAAATGCATTTCCATAACTCACAACATCGAATTGCTCGCAAAATTGTGGGACCTCCGTCGCTTTTTTCCAGTAGTACCGCCATCGAGCGAGTATTAAAGCTGTTATGTCCTTAAAATTCAACGATGGTAAATGATGTGGTTAATGATGTGAAAAAAAGACAGATGATACACCGACCTCAGAAAGCCAGTGCAAAGGTATATCTGATGGTATCGAGCAAATCAAAGCCAAGAAGAGCTTCAACACAGCTTCCTAAATACGGGAGAAATACTCTCGTTTTTGTTCGGTATCCTTGAAGAAAACCATTTGAGGAGAAAGAAGTTGAGTATTGCAAAACAGTTTTCAGACGATATTATGTCACTGATAACTAACCCTTAGGCCGCGTTCATAGTTCGCGACTCCGGAGATTAGGATAGTACGCGACAATGAAAAACATATGTATTGACGGGAGATTAGGATAGTAGTAGATTAGGATAGTAGTAGAGTAGGAGATTGCGCTGACAAGATTAGATACGTATCGATTGAAATCGCTGGAGAGTAGTAGATTGCGATATTACGATAGTAGGATAGTAGTAGAGTAGGAGATTAGGATAGTAGTAGATTAGATAGTAGTAGATTAGGATAGTGCGCTGACAAGATTAGATATGTATTGATCTATTCGCTTGAAGTCGCCCAATCTACTACTCTCCAGCGATTTCAATCGATACGTATCCAATCTTGTCAGCGCAATCTCCTACTCTACTACTATCCTAATATCCTGTCGCCTACTTCTGAGATGAAATCGAGTGCATGGCGCATTCCGAAATCAAGCTTTCTGAAAATATAACAGCACCATCTTGTAGCGCTTGAAGAGCTGAGTTCAACGGTGTTTTCCGTTTCTGGAATACTTCACTCTGACCCGACTTATAACGAATTCACGAAATTAACGAGGATTCGCGTTATTCGCGTGAATTTTCGATTTCAAACGGCGAGTACTGTAGGTTACAGGCTTTGCGCGTTGCAGCTGCAAATTCCTTTTTTTGCGGTTTTTGCACTGTTTTTGTTATCTCTTGTAGTTTTGCTTGTTGCTCTTATGGAATGGATGCCGGATATTTGTCGTTGTGTTTTTTGTTGTTGAAAAGGTCGCACAAGTCGCCGATCGCTTCGGTTGTAGGTTTATCCGCGTTGGTTGCGTGGTCGCAATTTGTAGGAGTGCTCTCCAGTTTCTCTTTGTCTGCCGGTTTCAGTGGTTTTTTAAATATTATCGCTCTCGCTATTAATTCCCATTGGGACAAGAAGGTTCATAAGTCTTTTCATTTGTCTTCCTTTTGCTGTGATTTGTTCTGCTTCCCTGATTTTTTCACCCGTTGACAGTCTCAAGCTGATTATGCGGGCTAGCGTTCAGTCGCTTCGCAGTAGTACTGGGTCGCTGACGAGGACTATACTCCTTTTCGTGGCAGAGTAGGCTTTCTTCTATTTCTGTATATTTGAACCTTGTGTTGTTCGCGGAGGACGCTTGAAAATTGATGTCTCCGAATTTCTCAAACTGCATGGTGACATTGGTGGATGATTGTAGGCTGCTTGTCTTCTTGTTTCTAACGTAGGAATTTCCATCGGATGGGTGTAGTCTGTATCATCTGGGTCGAACTCCACATTCTCGAAGGAACACGACGTTTAATCTGTTTTGTCTGATTCTGTGAGGTCGATTGGCCTCACAGAATTGAATTCTTCTGTGTTCTTCTCTTAAGGCCGATGTCATAGTTTGCGAATCGAGCGATTCGCTAGCGAATCGCTGATCCGAGCGTTGCGCCAGCGAATCGAACTTTGCACCAGCGAGTCGAACGATGTACCAGCGACTCAATAGTGGCGGGACCCAACGTTCAAAGGAAGCCCGCTTTCAAACAGTGTCACGTGACAGTGGACACTGTTTGAAAGTGGCGGGCTTCCTTTGAACGTTGGGTCCCGCCACTATTGAGTCGCTGGTACCTAGTTCGACTCGCTGGTGCAAAGTTCGATTCGCTGGTGCAACGTTCGATTCGCTGGCGCAACGCTCGGATCCAGCGATTCGCTAGCGAATCGCTCAACCTTAGTAGGTTAGTGGTCTAGTGGTTCTAGTGCATTCCATTTCCGTAGTTACCGTGCTATCGTAAGGGATTTCTGGCTGATACACCATCAAACGGATAGATGGGGGGGGGGAGGAGTATCGCCGCATATTATACCACTCGGCGTTTTTGGAAGCCTCAAACTTAGGTAATTGAACTTCAATTACTGAATGAATGGTCTTCAAGATTGCGGGCTGCCCACGATATTTCTGTTTACTGCAAAAAAATTATGCAAGTAATATGCAATTAAGATTACGTTACAAAGTTGGGACCAGACAAGGTCAGCTCTACGAATGCATGTTGTATCTAAGAAATGGAGCTGCAAAAATCACTAGTTGCTCAGAGAAAGCTGGTGGTATACAGTAGCGGTCAAAAGTTTGGAAACTTTTTTATTTTTGATCTAGCGTAGCCAATAGACAATGAAATTGTCCCAAATTCACATATTATATACAGAATCAAGTGTAGATTACGATGAGCAACATATTTTTTGAAAACGAGAAATCGCTTTTGAAAAATACGAATTTTTATAAGAAATGGCGCGTCAAAAGTTTGGAAACTTCTCAATTCCAAAGCGAATTCGGCAAAATAGCTCTCGAATCCACATGATAAATTAGTTATTCGATGAGTAGCTGTGAATTTCTATGTCAGCGTCGTTTTTATTGACATGGAGTTGATTATAAAATAATTTTAGGACTTTTAAGTCGAACCCTGCACACTGTGAACTAAATCACATTGTTTGGTGGGATTCTTAACTGGAATGTGGGTTGAGCGACATGCCAGTTCTTCCGTGGGATGTAGAACTCAATTAGACTTTAGATCTTGACTTGGTCGCTTCATAACAGCTTCTTTTTCTGGGTTTAGGAAGGCGGCAGTGAGGAGGTAGGCCTGCATTGGGTCATTTCCGCGATAGAAAAACCCATCTTTTCCGGCTAGTTCTGACTATCGAAGGGAAGCATTGTATTCTACAGACTATACTTGTACTTTAGCCCAACCCACATTTCGCTGGATACCTAGAACTGGGGAATCGCCGAATGGTCGGACACATCTTCATCCATGACAGTACTTCCACTATTTCTGACTGTTGGAGTCTGGTAGCTAGAATTAGGTTTCCTTCACAGAACCTACAACATCATTTTAGGAGAAAGAAATCCCACTCGTCGCTGAGGACAAAGTTTTACCTCTCGCCTTCGGTCCATGTTAGCCGTTAGTGTGCGGAAGCCAGTTGGGCCATCCTGCTCTTGAAGCCCAACAATGGCTTCTTGTTGGGATATCATCCGTAATATTCACCAGGTCGCGGCCGATGTTGGGCTGTGCTTGGACTTTCATACGATTAGGTTCAAAACCAGAAAAAATCGTCTCTTAGTTGGGCATATCGGGTGCCAACCACCCTTCGAAGTATTTGAGGAGGGCCAATTTTCTTGTGAGAATACTTTTTTGTGAATGATCATTCTTCTTATGCTTACTCGACTCCAAAAACGCTAAAAACATTCGATAATATTGCTTCCGTAGAGACTGAACTACTAAGAAACAATTTCAATTTCGTATTCCGGATTGTAGGGTTTAAAAAAGGACCTCCCATGGAAAAACTGCTTCCTTTGCATATGAATTCATTTTGAAATTACACATTGCTCAATGGTTGAACTAAAATTAACAGAAACAAGTGAACATTGAAGAGTAGGAATCTAACGATGGAGGAAACAAAATTTTGAAAACTTTTGA